CCCCCCCCGTCTCCCCGCCCTGGAGGCACTTCCGGCCTCACCCAGCCGCGGCTCCATCCCGCGCCGACCCCAGCCCCTCCGCTCCCGACGCCCCACCTCCGGTTGCGGACGCGGGGCGAAGTCCCGGTTCTCTCCGGTGGCCGCGGCCGAGAGGACCCGGCCCTCCCAGACTGCGCGTGCCTCTGTCGGACCCCCGCACCCCGCGGCCCGGGCGGCCCCTCAGGCGGCCGCGAGTCCGGGCAGGCCGCACTTGGCCATTCCCACGGCCCCCGTCCGGGCCGAGGGCGCCGACCGCCCAGGGAGAGACGCAGCGACCGGCGCCCAGACCCGCGCCCACAGCCTCGACGAGGCGTCGGGAAGCTCGGGCCCCGCGCCCCAGCGCCCGGCCCCGTCGGGACCTTCCCGGAGGACCGCAGTGTCGCCCACGGCGGACCCGGGCTGGCTCAGGGCCGGCGAAAGAGACGGACGGTCCGCGCACGGCCGCGGGGCGGGGCGGGGGCTTCGCGAGAGCCCCGCCCCAGGCCCCGCCCCGCGTACCGCCTCCTCGAGGCCACACCCTCTCGCGTCCATCTCCTTTTTTCCCGCCCCGATTGTGCGGCCCAGGCTCCGCCCTTTCGAGGCCATCCTCATCCCAGCCCGAGGCCCCGCCTTCTGACGTAAGAGGCGGGGCTCATACGATGCAGCCTTAGGCTCCGCCCCCTCGCGCTCACTCTCTTTCAAGCCAGAGGCCCCGCCTCTGGATGTGAGGGGCGGAGCTTTCAGTGTGTGGCTCCGTCCACTCGCGTCCACGTCTTCTCGTCGGGAGGAGCTTCCACGGTGCCGCCTCAGTTTCCGCCCTATCGCCTATACCCTCTTCCGGGCCGAGGCCACGCCCCTCAGCGTGAGGGGCGGAGCTTCTGGTGCGTGGCCTGCCTGCCGGGCGGTTCCTGAGGCGGCCGTTGGCCGTTCCCGCGGCTTGGCTGGTTGTCTTGGAGAAGCAAGATGGCGGCGACGGCGACGGCGGCGGCGGTGGTGGCGGAGGAGGACACGGAGCTGCGGGACCTGCTGGTGCAGACCCTGGAGAACAGCGGCGTTTTGAATCGCATCAAGGTGCGGCGGGCGGCCGCGCGGGTCCGCAGGCCCGAGGCCA